ACTTTATTCTCTGTTATGGAATTGAAGTCAAATTAACAATAATACAGTGTTTTGTGCAATTTAGAAAATATCCATAATTAATTACAAGTTACTAATAGAGGTAGAATCGAAAATTATCCACTATTGATTCTGTTAATTTATTTTACAGTTTGAATGCATGATAGTATCTAATTGATCGATTTTATAGTTTTGAATTTATGTATTATTTGTTTTATATGATTATGGTTGAATTAGAAAACTGGAGATTAAAGGTAAACGAAAAATCGTGTGATTAAGTGAATTGATGAAACGACAGGCTTACTGGATATCCTGGGAGATGGTGGACGGACCGGGTACATAGGAAACCCTACCGTGAACGTTGTCTCATACTGGACGAGGTATTGAGACTTGATAATTTGACACTCATACCGGATGGGGTATAGAGACAGTCCGTTTCATCCTCATACCGGATGGGGTATAGAGACAGTCCGTTTCATCCTCATACCGGATGGGGTATTGAGGTTTAGTAATTTGGCGCTCATATCGGACGGAGTATGGAGACAACTCATTAATTAGAAATATTAAAGGAAAGGGTTCATGTATTGTTGAGACATCCCTATGAACCCCAATGGATATAGTAGGCTGATAAAAAAGAAAATTTTTGTTCCAACCAATTGCATATGAAATCATGACATCTGTTATGTTATTATCTCTATAAGTTATTTTGTAAATCTCGTTACGGTAAGTAGACGGTAAATGATTTTATTTATGATAAACGATTTTGCTAAATTAAGAGCTCTATTAGTTGTTTTTATTATTTTTACCAACTTTCATTTCTGTGTCGGTGAGTAGCGTGATATTCTTGCTGGGCTAGTGTAGCTCATTTCTTTATTAACCATTTCAGATCAAGAGAACCAAGATTTAGAGGCAGATCCATAAGAGGGTTGCGAGTAGTATGCTAATTTTATTTATTTTATGATAATTTCTTTAATTTCTCGTATTTTTCTCAAAATAATTATTCTCGTAGGCTTATTTGGTACTTTAAATCATTGTGTAAGGAATGCAAACTCTAACTATTTATTTCATTTCTGCACTTAATTTATAATTTATTTCATTTAGAATTTATAGAGTCGTTTTATTAAATAATAATCTTTTAGTATTTAATATTCTTTTATTTTTAAATTTAAAAATATTATAAGAGCACAATTGTTGATTTATAATCTAAAAATTTGTACGTTAATCTAAAAGAAAAAATATATATATATAATAAACATTGTTAAAAATAATAATTTTAAATGGATACTAATATATGTATAAGATAAAAACCCCTTTATCAATTTCTAGTTGAGAATAACCTTTCTAAGATGCTCTACATTCAACCACCCATACAAAAAGCTATATCCTTCTCTTAAAATTTCCTTCTCAAAAATCAGTTTCTTTCACATGTCAAATATGTTGGCTAAAATACTTTAATCGAAGAAATATTTTAAAAATGTAATCTTATAGAAAAATAAAAAAAGACATATAGGCTATTATATATAGATGATCTTAAGATAAAATATTAACATCTCTAATACCCTCAATTCTATATTCACCAAACATTTATTAACATATACGATAACGATTCTTTAATTTTTAATTCTAGTTTTAAGTTATTCTATAAAAAAGAAAATCAATATTTGACTGCAAAATAAAAATCAAGTTTCACAATATTAAAATATTATATGGGCACATTTTATATTCAACCATAAAATATATCATTATCGATTAATATGTCATATAAATAAGTCAGGTTGAAATCAGATGCTCGTCTTATTACTAAACTTGTCAATATATCGTCATAAGAGTCTTTTTTTTTTAATTATAATTTAGTGCATGTGAAAAATTAATGCTTATGCGCCTAACCATAAAAGTCTTTTCTACTTATATTATCATCTACTTTATACTATTTCTATAGGTTTTAATTAGACTTTAAGTGTAAATAAAAAACTTAATATTTTTTTTAATTTTTTACTACTTCGAACAATTCCTCATTAAGGCCTTTAATACCGTCCTAAATTGTAATAACATTCGTAGAATGTCAATATTAAAAAATTTAAAGAATTGTAAATATTGATAAATTTTTAATTTAAGAAAAACAAATTAAAAAATACCTACTATACTAATAAATAAAATTAATAACTTAAAATAAATTTATTTTATAAAGTAGAATTATCAATTAATTTGGAAAAAACTATGATTTTATTTTTTGGGTGAAATATAATTACTTATTAGTCCTTTGTTTTCAAGTAAAGTTGAAATGCTAATTCTCTCTTTTTCATTTTTTTTTTTAAATAGCTTTCATTTCATTATTGAATACAACGTGTTAAAATATGTTAATTAAATTACTTTATCCTCCAATTAGGAGACACGTGGCGTGCGGGTAGTGGACGGTTATAGAAAATCTTGTGACAGCGCCGTCATTCTATCTGAAGTTTCCGAGGGACCAGTTGTTTGTGTTAGTTACCTAATGAAAACAGTTACGGGTAAACTGTCGGCTACAAACTCCAACTACCCTCCTCCATGTTTTCTTCAAGCTACCTCTTCCTCTCTTATGGTTATTAACCCACGCCTTCCAATTAATATTTATTATTATTATTATTGTTATTATCTTAAAAATAGTTTGATAGGAATGATAAAATTTTTATTTTATTTTAAATTATATTATTATTTTTATTAGACGTATATTAATTTAGAACATAGTAATTATATCAATGGTCCATTTTTGATATCTCATAAAAATTTTAATTTACTTTAAATAAAAAACTTAATATAATAATATGAATCAAACCAAACAATTCAAATAGTAAGAGATAAAAAAAAAATACTTATTTCAATTTTAGCTTTTAAATTTTGTTGATCTTTTAATTAAAAATAAAAAAAATTCATTTATTTTAATTTTAAATTGAACGAAACTATAAGAATATTATTATGATATGTTTAATTGAAATTAAAAAAATTTAATTTTTAACTCAATACTCAACCTTCCTCCGTCCTTTCATATTTGATTTTAGATTAACGAAGATAATTCATACACATGATAATATGGGTGTATCCTTACATATGGAAATGTGGGTATTGGTAAACGAGCATCTTCTATTTGACTAATTACACAAAATGATATGATGATATGGCATGTTCATTATATAAAATATTACTAATTTTATATTAAAAAAAAACAAAATAGGAGAAGAAAGAAAGAAAGAAAAAGAGATTGGGAATTGGAAAATTTGAGGAGGGAAAAAAATGACAAGTGATGATGAGAATTGAGAAAGAAGGCTTAATGCATAATGATTAGGGTTGTCAAAAACCCAAAGGGAATGGGTTGTGGGTGGTAATCATTTCATCTTTTGTCTTGGGAAGACAAGGTTTCATGATGCATCATCATCATCATCATCATCATGGATTCCCTTCTTTTACGTGTGCAATCCCTCATTCCTCCTTCTATTTGTTATTTAGTTTATAAAATTAATTTATGTTTTAGTAAGAGATAAAAATTATTAATTTAAATTAAAATAAGAATATAATGACATTATCTCAAAAAAGAATGCTGCCAAATGTGTATTTATGTTGAAAGATAATCATATGTGTAAGACCATTTAAATTAAAAAAAATATATATATTTTCTCATTGCTTAAAGAATATGACAAATTATACAAAAATATTTCTCAAATTTTAGAAAATAATAAGGTAGTATTATTATTATTATTTTTTTCTATTTTAAATGGAAAATGAAAGCCACCAAAACTTATTTATGTATCAATTGCTGTTCGTACTTTTTTTTTTCTTTATCAACAATGGCATGCTTTCTTTTATAAGTAAATGACCATCAATTACCCTCTTCAAGCAAATAATAATGAAACCCACACAAACCATTTAGAAAAATTTTAACGTCAGCATTATTGGCAAAGCCAAATTTCAAAGCTTCAACCCATTATATTTACAGGCGAACATTAACAAGAGATTGGAACACCAAACAAAATCTAGACCCATTAAAAAGAACCAAATCCAAACTTGTTTTTTTAACTAGCTACTCCCACGTTAATTTTGGGTGTAGGGCGAAAGCCTTCTCCCCTCACTAGAAAAGTCATAATACGAAATTGTACCCTTTAATTATCAGCCCAAAACTTCAAATCAAACAAGAATTTGCCTCTCTTTCTCTTATCTCATGTTAGGTTCCAATTTGTACCGATAAAATCTGCCTCCATGGATAGAGCCTCTCTCAAGAAAACTCCCGACCCTTGTAATCTTTCTCTCTAGACCAAAAAGAAATGCAGAGCGAAGATAACTATTCAAAAAGAGAAATTTCTGCCTCCCTCACTCACGTTTGATCTCTCTCGCTATCGAAAACTAGGAGGGCCATGAGGAATTGGATGGTATCTAATCTAAATGTTATTTCTGTCGTTTTTAAGTGCTTCCACTAAACTTAAACAGATGCAAACACTTATCTTCAAAACTGTGGTTGTTTCGCTGAGTTCTTGATAATCGAAAATTGTTAGTTTTCTTAAAATCTCATTAAGATTTCTTCAATTTATTCTTAAAAAATAAACAATAATTTAAGAAAAATGGGAATAACTTCACACAATCATTTTGCAAGAACAAATTTATTACAATAGTTTTGACACTTTTTTGCCAAACATAAATTACTTCATTATCCTGTTTAGTTCTATAATTTTGACAATCCGTTATTTGCAAGTATATGTTGTCTTTTTCACAATGGTCGGGCATCTCTCTCTCCAAGTTTCACACTGTCAATAGAAGTAGAAGTAAAACATTAAAAACTCAACCTCAATTAGAGTTACAAAACAAACCGCTCTCCCAATCAACAGATTTTATAGCCAACGTATGTTTTGAGTTTGAGTTTTGCTTACTACGTAGTTAACATTCATTATATTGTACTACAAAAAATAGCTCTTCAACATCCAAATAACCAAACAGAAAAATCATTAAAAGGGCGATATATATATATATATATATTTAAATTATTTTAAATGTTGGTTCTTCACAACACGCACTTGTCTAACAAATATATATCGTCAATTTCCTACAAAATAGATGCAAATGTAAAACTTTAAGTGAGAAAAAAGCATTACATCAGTTGCCATTTCTCAATTGCTCTGTTAATTGGTGATTAGGCCATGCCTCCACTGGTAGCTGTCCTGATAATCTGGAAGAGAGCTGCAACAATGATGAAAATAAGTCATCAGTTCAGTAAAACCCGCCACTACTTGAACATTAAGTATTGACAGTTCCTCGGATATATGATTCTTGAGGACTACTTCAACAGTTGATTGCAAGCAAAGCATACAATCATATATCTACTCCTAGTTGGAAAAAATTATGCATTTGCCTTAGCCCCAGTACAAAATATAGCATACATCCTTACATAACACAATTTCTAAATCTATAAATAGTACACACATAAGACATCAATAAATATGTATAGAGATACGTAGATATGCATATCTACATAAAATATATGGAAAATTACATCCTCACCTTTTTTCGTGTTGTCCACTTCAAAAAAATATCTTACAGTTTATTCTGACAGTAAACTATTTTTAAATTTCACAATAAAACAATACAGGAGTTTGTTACTTTAGTGACAACATAAATCCTATAGTTAAGACTCTCTTATCGAAGGAAATTAAAAAGAAAACTGTTTTTGATTCGTTATAAATAATAATCACGTAAGTAAAGTAGATTAGTGTCTAGGGTACATTAAAACCAGCAACTACATAACTATTGCAGGTTTTAAAACTCATCTCATACAAAGATTTAAAAAGAAAAAAAAATTTCTGTCCTTTCCTTCGTCATGATAAATAATTACACCGCAATCTAGATCAATCTTTATAATGTATTAACACTTCATCAATTACACAACTCAAATTCATGTACTATAATTAAAAAGGAACCTTCAACAGAAATGTTGAAAACATTGTTGAAGCTTATGTGAGGTTTACGCGGATCACTAAAATAACATACTTGCCCTTTTATCAAACAATGAAACCTCAGAATAATGGACCATAACCAAAAAATAAAACAAACCACAAGAGATGAAACTATAATTTGTCCTATAATATGCACATATATTTGCATTGTGCCTATATATCCACATATATGTATATATATACACACATGTACATGCATCTATAGGAACATGTATGTTAAGAACTAGCCCAAATGGAGCGAGAACACGGTTATTTGAATTAGTTGTCTGCTTTTTATTTGTTTGCTGTTATGATTTTCAGTACTAGAGAATATTTTCTGTTATTTAGGAGAGTACTAGGATACGATGATGACAACGGTACAAGGAACCTGCTAGAAGGGCATCAGCCTATTTATATGATAGGTTGTAACCTGCAGAGAATATGAGAAAGAATATTATTATCAGCTCTTCCCTTCCTTTATTCTCTCTATTCTCTCTATTCTCTCAATTCTCTCTATCTCCTTATTACTCTTCTTTTTCTTCAACTTCTCCCCTAAGTTACTGTCTCATTCTGATTTTCCCTCTCAAACCAACTGCACATGTCTGAGGTTCCTAACAACGTGGTAGGAGAGCTAAAAGAACCTGCAGAGACTGTTTCATCCACAATCCAGCTGGCCAAAAACAAGCGAAAGTCCACTATATCTGACGCCCACAGGATGCCTCAAATGGAGGACTCACTGTGTGGTATGGAGCAGAAAATCCAGAACTCCAAGTCTAAAATCTATGAGTCCGTGAATGCCAAGCTTGAGGCCAAACTAGATGCCAAGTTGGCTGAAAACAATGCGCAGCTGCAACTCATTGTAGCTGACACAATCTGCTACATGACAGCCAACGCTCACTCTACTTGCCAGAATCCCACACCAAACCCCTCCTCCAAACCAACATCCATCTCAAGCTCAAATAAAACCTTTTCCTACTCCCATGTGTCCCAAGGCCTCTTACCCACTACAGGAGTAAAAGAAAAAAGAGGGAGCAGCCATTCCCCAACTTTCTTGTCCAATGCCTTGGGGGTAGAACACACCAAGGATTGACATTCCCATGTTTGAAGTAAACCCAGGCCTTGGGTGAGAAGATGCAAGAAATAATTTGCCAGGCTAAAGGTACATTATTATAAGAAAAGACTAATGCACCCTCGGAGAAACCAGCAAAGTTTATTTCTACATAGTTCTCAAACCCGTCAACTCTTTGTCGACTTTTCGCAAAAACTTTGCTTGCATTTTACTTACATGGAAGGAAATATCTGCTGCTCTATGACTGTAATTCCATCCTCAACTCTTCAATTTTCTGGTCAACCCGGCATCGATTCTCCTGCATGGGAGTTTGTTGCTGAAGCTGAAGCTCTCTCAATCATTTGAGATAACTCTCTTTTGGTTCAGCAGGGTTCGTCTTAAAATCATCTCAATCTTTTGATTGAGAAATTCTAACAAACATCCGGTGGTCATTCACCAAATCACCTTCATGGCCAACCAGTTTGACATGATTAAACCCTTTCTCTACTTCAGTTCCATCGAACTTCTCAAACATCCCATAGTCTATAATAACCTCCACTATCTCCTCGAAATCAAATTTGAATTTTTCCTCATATATGGAACCATATTCATCAACAATATGTTCTATAACACATTCTTTCATGAATATTTTTATGCACATTCAATGCACATCTCTCTAATTTTAAGTCATCCTCTAAAAACCTCCTAACCTTTTCAAGGGTGGTTAATGATGTGCATGTTCCAAAAAATAGGTAACACGAGATTGTATAGCCTTTTTAATTGCAAAAGCATTGACACCCAGTGTTGGACTTTTCTCAAAACATATGGTATGCACAATTCTCCGATTTAATTTCAAGAGCACTTTCTATTGTTCATCTTTATTGTATAGCTTTTTTAATTGCAAAAGCATTGATCCTTGGTATTTGACTTTTCTCAAAACATACAGTGTGCACAATTCTCCGATTTAATATCAAGAGTACTTTCTATTTTTGAACGAGAACCTACTAGTGAAATTAAGTTCGAAGAAGTATTATACATATCATAAGTTATAACGTGCAGAGGATATGAAAAACAATATTATTATCAGCTATTCCTTCCTTTTATTCTCTCTGTTCTCTCTGTCTCCTTATTTCTCTTCTTCTTCTTCTTCAACTTCTCCCCTAAGTTATTATCTCATTCTGCTTTTCCCTCCTAAACCAACTGCGCATCTGAGGTTCCTAACAATGCATCGTAAGAGTAGAACAGCAGAAGCACACGTGAAAAGGGCATATCAAAGGAAGATTTTTGGGATCGCTTATTTAGTAGTGATAAGTGGCTTCAACTACCTTGTCCTATTTTATTTATTTATTTGAGAAGACACTTTTTGTTACATTTTAACTGTTTGGTAACAAAGGCAAGGGACTTATTAGGTAATAAAACATAGCTTTTAAAGTAAAAGAAATTTTGTAGGTGTTTTTTGGTCCCTATTAATTAGTTATTGGCTCTCTTAACTATAATTACTTATTTTCTATATCTACCTTCCTAACTACTTCAAGTACTTAAAGAACCTAGTGCTTTAACTTAACCAATTTTTAAAAGCAATTCCAAGACCCTCTAATCCATGAGAAGGCCAGCATAACTTATGTTGAATTCAGAACTTCATGTACCACTTAAGTTGGAACTAATAAGGTTTCTAACAGAATTAGATTAGAAACCAAAAAAAAATTGAATTCATTTCCAAAAACATACACCTGGCTGAGTATACATCAAAAAATAAAAGGTGAAGTTTATATATCGCAATTGCTATAAGAGAAATGCAAATGTCAATAATAAAAAATAAATAGAAATAATAAAGTAAGGGCTGCCTATCGTTTTAATCCTCAAACTATAACAATTAAACAAACTAATCCTAAATTAGTTTTTGTTACAATCGAGTTTTTGAGCTATCATAAATATCCAATCTAGTTATCTTTAAAGCTTTTCTGGAGTATTTTAGAGACAAAACGTTCTTTTGAAAAAAAAAGGGAATAAACATAGCTAAAAAGTATGTGTTAATTCTGGAACCTAATTATTAAAAAATATTGAGACCAGCGACAGCTACAGTTCCAGAATTAAAATGATAATCAGATCTTAAAAAAAGCTTGAGAAACAGAGAAGCAAAAGAATTACATGATCCAATGACAACGAAAACGAAGAATCCCAGCACAATAGGACCAACGGGATAGTCCTTTCCCTTCTTAGTGGTTGTCTCCGGAACAAGTCCTCTCTTCTTAATGTTCTTCTCGAACTTCTCCACCTTCTTATCAGCCAAGCGCCTTGATGTCGTCTGACAAACAACAAAAATTCTGCATTATTTTCTATCATCCTCAAAAAATATCAAATTCTTTAATCTGATCTCGTTTAATCCTTTTCTTATTCTAAATCGACATAGCAGTCATTACCCACAGGTTGAATAATTGGTAATAATAATTCAGATCCATAAGCGCCAATCCATCCATCTAATTCCAAGAATTTCCAATGAAAGGAATACCTAACGAGAAAGGACAGCTAAATTCGAGCTAAGGAATTGAATTATAAAAAAAATACGGGATCATAAGAAAAAATTGCAATATATTCTTTTAGTAGAAGAAAAATCGCAATATCGTTTCTTTATCCCTCATAGCAAATCATCAGTACATAATGTTAATCATACGATTAGGATCGAGGAACCCATTTTTTAGCATCATTCGCTCTGTTAAATTATAAACTATAAATTCAAAAAAAAAAAACGAATAACAATCGAGATCAGATCAACAAGAAGATCGGACTTCCAGCTTGAAACTCCATGAATGTAAGGGAAAAAATAGATAAATCGAAAAAACAAGATCAAGCAAAAACTAGCAACGAAAGATCAAAATAACGCGCACAATCAGAAAACAACTGGAGTATAGATCAGGAAATACCATGATTAAGGGGAGATCAGGTAGCCGGAAACGTCTGGAGCAAAGATCTGTTGTGAGAATTGCAGGCTATTCTCTCTTTTATCCTTCCCGGCAACGCAGAGTGTTTCTCGTTCTCTCCCCTTCTCTCACAAACCACCGTGTCTAATTAAATCACAAAACTCCCCCTCTCTCTCTCCCTGTTATTAAATATCGGCGGAGAAATTGATAGTGTCCCTGACCCCCAGCACGACAGCGTCACAGACTTTAATGTGATTGGATGTAGCACGTCAGTCTATACACGTGTCATTATATAATTGGATATATAAGATACACGTAGTTTACGAATACGTGCCCAACTCGGCACGGGTTCAGCTCTTAACTTAACCGGGCAGGGATTGGATCCTAATCGGGCCGGATTAAAGATGATTATATGGGTTAGATCCGAAATATGTATAAAATATTCTAGAAAGATTTTAAGAGATTTTAAATCTTTTTAAATATTTTTTAATTAATAATAAGTTTTTTTATTAATTTTTATTAAATCAAATTAGACTTGATTTTTTAAATAAATCCATCTTTTTGGGGTTGATTTTAACATCTTATTTTTATTTTTCTTAAAGTTTTTGACGGCTTGCTTCCTTTCTCCTCTCTTTCTCTTTCTTTTTCTTTTTTCTTAATTAATTACTGCCTCATTGCATATATATATATATATATAAATATAAACATACGTATAGACGGCTGCTGCCATATATAGTTATTTTTCATCGCCATCTTCTTTTCTGCTTCTTCTTCTTTCTTTCTTATGTTTTTGCATTTTTCATCGCTATCTTTGCCGTTATGTTTCACCGTTAAAAAATAAATTAATTAAATATTGCAACATTAATTCATGATTTATCAAATGCCGTTAGACGACGCTCATCCACGACTCTGTACTCATTAGTTTTTATATACATATTATTTTTGCTAAAGACAAATGCGCAGGCGAAGACTTGTTAGGCTCCCAAGACCGACACCAACTGCTGATCCGACTTCACCCCCTCCGCCCATCTGTTATATATATGTGTGTGTATATATATATATATATATATATATTACTCTCTCTTTCTTTTTTCTCTCTTCTTTCACGGACACAGAGCTTCTCTCCTTTTTTCTTTCTTTCTTATTTCTTCTCCTATCGACTTGTCATTCTTCGCTTCGAGGCTTCTCCTTTATTGGCAGAGGAAAGGGGTGAAAATCAATTTTTTATTAAAAATTAATTTGTTAATTAGAATATAATTAATTAATTTTGATTGAAATTCATAAATTAGACTATCTATATATCTTTTGGTTTGTTAGAAGTTGTGAGTCGTAAATTAAATTTATTATATTTGGTGGTGGTTATAATTAATTATAATAGTTGTAATAATGCGTATAAATATGTATGTACTTAAATTTTTTTTGTAAGAAACACAATAGAAAATTTTGAGTTTTTTCATTAGTCTCTCTAACATCTTCCTCCTATCTTTAACAAAGTAGTATCAGAACTTGGTTTTTTATTAAAATTTTAGAGATGACTAATAATAATCTATTTTCTTTCTAATTTTCTCGTCTTACAAAAGAAAATGATAAGAATTGGTGTTTTCGTATGAAAGTCATACTTGACTCAAAAGATGTATGAGATATTGTAGAAAGAGACTTTAATCTACCCGAAGATGAATGATCCCTAACTCAAAATGAGAAGGATACTTTTGCAAGAATAAAGAAGAAGGATCAACAAACTCTTGCACTCATCCATCAAGGTTTGGATGAATCTATGTTTCTAAAGATGACAGATGCTACCAACGCAAAGCAAGCTTGGGAGATTTTAAAGAATTTTCTCCAAGAAGTTGACAAGGTAAAGAATGTACAACTCCAAACTTTACGAGACGAGTTAAAAGCTTTGCAAATGAAGGATGTTGAATCTATTTTAGATTTTTGCTTAAGGGTAAAGTGTATAGTAAGCCAAATGAGGAGATTTGGTGAGATGATGGAAGATGTTCATGTGGTGCAGAAAATTCTTCAATTGTTGCCACCAAAATTCGACTATGTGGTTTGTGTCATTGAATAATCAAAAGATTTAGACATTTTGACATTTGAACAATTAGAGGGATCTTTGCAAGCTCATGAAGAAAAAATAAAGAGAAGACAAGAAGAGCATTTAGAATAAGTTCTCAAATCAAATGCAATTTTGAATGATGGTGGAAAGCAGAGAGGACGAGGAAGAGGTAGAGGTTGTGGTTGTGGTCGTGGTCAAACATTTAAAAGAAATGAAACTCAAGATAATGTCGATAATGAATACAAAAGTCAACTATCAAATAGAGATCGTGGAAGAGGAAGAGGAAGAGGAAGAGGAAGAGGTAATTATAGAAATTCTAACAAATCAAATATTGAATGTTACAATTGTCATAAATACGGACATTATACTTGGGAATGTCGTAACACTTTAAACAAGAAGGAGGAATAAGCTAACTTTCTCAATGATAAATAAGATGAGGAAAAAATAACTTTGTTGTTAGCATGTAAAGAGGGAGATAGTAATACACATAATTCATGGTACTTAAGTATGGAGCAAACAATCACATGTGCGATAATAAAGAAAAATTTATGGAGCTTGATGAGAAGATTAATGGTAATGTTTTTTTTTGGAGACTCTTCAAAAGTTCAAATTCAAAGAAAATGTACAATTCTAAATCTCTTCAAAAAATGATGGGCATGTACTTATTACTAATGTTTACTATGTGCCAAAATTAAGGAAGTAATATTTTGAGTTTGGATCACCTTCTTAAAAAAGGATGTGAAATTCACATGAAAAAATTATTGTCTTTAGCTTAAAAGATCAAAGTGCTAATTTGATTGCTAAGATGCACATGTTAAAGAATAGAATGCTTATCTTGAAT